CCCCCACCCCCACCAATCATGAGAGAGGAACATGAACCAGGAGGAATAAGGGTGTTTTCTTTGCACCCACATTGACAACAACTATGGTCTTCCAACTTCCTCTTTTTCAATGGTTTTTCCTCTTTGTTATCAATTCACTTCTTCTTTCCTTCCTCTGGCTTCATATTTGCTCTCATGACGACAAATAAGCTTTATGAGCACCCGCCTTTGCCGGCTCCATTTTCACAAACACTTTCTCTGACCTCTCTTCCTCGTTCACTTGATTTTTCTCATTCTCTTCACCTTGAGCACGCTTTCACCCATGTCACCTTTAACATCATGCATAATTTGCACAAAAAACACATACCATAAGCATAAAAATCATCCTTGAAAGATATTCCAACAACGGTAAAAGACAATAAGCGAGAAATAAATAAAAATGCATGAAAAAGCTGCTAAAACTCACTAAAATATAACTAATATACACAAAGTTAGAAAATTCTCTAGCCTTATAGATTGGCAAATATTTATTTTTAGGAGGCTTATGAATAAGACGTAATGTTTTTATTTTGTCTGTTTGGTGGATGCCAATGTTGGGCCCAACATCCCATCTCACATTTTTTAGTGGATGTGGATCTACAATGCAACGTACATGCCGAATTGAGAGTATATGTTGCATCTATTTGTGTGACATGATACACTAACATACACAGATAACTAAGAATATAACGGAAAGAAGACATTTGTTTTTGAAAATGGACACTTTAATTTTGACAAACTAAAATATAAATCTAGGGGTCGTTTACTAAACGCTTACGCGTAGGTGCTTACCGGACAATTTTTTCCTCACTGGACTAACATGGCAAGACCAAGAATCTTACCTGGTAAGAGCGATGATAAAGATAGATAGTCTTACCCGGTAAGTGAGGGTGACGATTCTTACCCGGGTAAACGCTTACCATATATATTGTTGCACACGATACCATTTTTTATAGTACAATCTTACATAGAAAATAAATTATAATGTTGACTTATAATGATAAACGCTTACCGGGTAAACATTTAAGTAAACAACCCCTTAGATATTTTTTTTACCCAAAGTTTTGTTGACAATGTTATATGTCTGACTTAATAAAATTGAAATATTTTTAATGTAGATTTTGATTTTTGGTGGAAAAGAGAAGGCCCATTAAGAATTTCTTTACCCAATCTGGGCCTATACCCAATAAAAATCCTAATCGACTACCTCTGATTCAACGTTCACGTCCATCTCGTGTTCCTGGTGAGGACGATTGCACAAAACCCTAGAAGCAAACAACGAAAATGGAACGATCTAGCCGGAAACACAGGGATTCCGATCGGGAAAGGGATAAAGATTTAAGCAAAGACTACAAGCATCGAAGCAGCAAACACAACGATGACCATCACCGCTCGAAACACGATAAACACCGTGACACTGATGGAGATGATCGACGTCGGAGGTCTGAACGCGAGAGATCCGAAGATGGTGAAGATCGGGTTAAGCGTGAGAGGTCATATGATAGAGAAGGTAGCAAGGATAGGGAATTGAGAGAGAAATCGGTGGATAACAAGCGGTATCACAAGAGGAAAGAGAGAGGGGGGGAGAGTGATGAGGAGGATCGGTATTACGAAGCACGCGATAAACGGATTAGGGTTTCGGATGAGAGGAAGGAGAGGCGGCGGTTTGAGGATAAAGTTGCCGCTGCTGAGGATGAAAGAGATAGGGAAGAGAGAAAAGAGAGGAGGAAATTTGAGGATAGAGTTAAGAAGGAAGATATCGATGTTGTTGATGATGATGAAGATCAGTTGCCAGAAGGGAATTTGAATGGGGTACTGAAGAGTGAACCTAAAGATGAATCATACGGTGGTTCCAATGCCAATGTAAGCTTTTTACCGTCTCCCATCTCTCTTCACAATGGAGCAAAACATTTTGGTTTATATTTCATGGTGATTTCAGATGTTGGCTAGAGCTTTAACATGTTTAAAAATGATACTTGTTGTAGTGTGCATGTATGATATGTTCTTACTTCATACAAGCTTGTTCTTTAATACAATAGATTCACAGTAATTTTTGACTTGAAACCTAGCACTGATCAAAGCCTCAAAGGTAATATTGCCAGGAAATGCATTTTGTTGCGTATTTAACATGAACATAATTTTATTTGCATTAAATGTTATAGAGTTGGTGGCATTTACAAGTTATTTTGAAATGGTTTAAACACAGCTGATGTCCATATTGAAAGTGTAGCTGTTCTTATGGACCTGTTGGTGCGAGTTTTGTTGACAATGAACAATTTACGTGGTTGTAGCTGAACGAAATGTTTTCGAGTTCTATTGAAGTGACTATAGCAAGGCTTTTTTAACTCGACTTTCAAATTTCCGTAGTTGGTACAATAATTAAGCATTGCTCTTCTTCAGAATTTATTCTAGCACGGTATATGAATTGGTTGTGGTGGTTTTGATTGGCAGTTGTATGTTGTATAAATTATGTAAAAATGAAAGTATTCAATAGCTTGTGCTCATCAACAAATATATTTGTAACTATAACATGGTATAAGGTAGTTCACATGAAGTCCTATAACATGGTATAAGAGTCGATCTTTGACTAGACATGTGTTTGTAACCTGGAGGAGTCTTTGTGATGGTTGTATCATTAGATGACCTCTGCTATGTGGTTGCTTGTGTTTAGCGGAGAGCACCTGTATTGGATTACTTGAAGGCTCAAATTCAGGGTTATATTTTATTTTTGTAATATGTATTGGCAATTTGGCATTCTGTGGGAGCTGTTCCATAGTTTATTTTCATTTCTTCGTACAATCTATGCTCTGTGGTATCATCTATATTAGAAATTATCTTATTTATTTATGTTGACTTGTGCTTCATACTTGTTGACTTCAGGGCGGGGCACTGGGATCACGTATTAAGGCATTTGGAACCCCACATCAGTCCCCGTTGGCACCCAGCCACCCTCCCTCTAAGGTATCTTCAATTTCTACCAAACATGAAAATGAAGGAGTTAATAGTAACAGATCTCATGAGGTTCCTGGGAAATCCAGTACAGATGGGAGTTCTGCAGATGCTGGCAAGAGTGGAGGCATCTCTCTCGATGCCTTATCTAAGGCAAAGGCAACTTTGCTGAAGCGAAAGGAGCTTGCTGAGAAGATGAAGAAGATCCCTATGGTAAGTATTGAATCTGAATGTTTGTCATTTGGACCGTGTGCTATGGCTTTTCACATTTTGCTTTGTTATTAGTTCTCATGTACCTTTTGAGTCAATATTAAGTTTTGCATGGAAGGCATTTGCCATGGTTTATTTATGGAGGTCTATTTCTCCCATGTCACGTCCTTTTATTTTGTGTTTGTTTTCATGCAGTTAAACAAGGCTGCTGGCTTAAGCACAGAAAGAAGTGGTCAGATGTCTACAAAAGAGGGCCTGAAAGCTCCATCTAGTTCAGGAATACTCCCCGCCCCTCCTCAGTCTGTGAGCTCTGGTGCTGGTACACCTACAGTTGCACATAACTTGTTCTCTGGTGCCACTGCTTCTATGCAGCAACTTGGTACTGGTCTGCCTCAACTTGCAGGACTTACTGCACCGAAGTTTGAAGCTGTAAAACGTGCACAAGAGCTGGCTGCCAAAATGGGATTTAGACAGGACCCAGAGTTTGCTCCACTTATAAACATGTTCCCTGGGCAGATGCCGCCAGAGGTTACTGTTCAACCCAAGCCTGCCAAGGCTCCCGTCCTTCGTTTGGATGCATTGGGAAGGGAAATAGATGAACATGGGAATGTGGTGAATATACCAAAATTAAACAACCTGAGCACCCTTAAGGTTTGTTCATTTCTGCTTGTATTGGTTTTCATTCAGATCTAGAATTGTGTCCTAAGTCCTGCTTTTGTTTTTTCTTCAACCATCCAGGTTAACATTAACAAGCAGAAAAAAGATGCATTCCAGATTCTGAAACCTGAATTAGAAGTTGATCCAGATAAAAATCCACACTTTGATCCTCGAATGGGAATAGATAAAACCAAACTCTTAAGGCCTAAAAAGATGACCTTTCAGTTTGTAGAGGAAGGCAAATGGTCTAAGGAGGCAGAGATCATTAAGTTGAAGGTATCTTCTGCTTCATTGTTTTCCATTCTGGTCTACTGAGGTTCATTTTCAACTTGCTGATAGTTGGCGTTTATGTTTTCAGAGTCAATTTGGAGAAGCACAAGCAAGAGAGTTCAAAGCAAAGCAAGCACAGCTTGCTAAGGCCAAGGCTGAACCTGATATTAATCCAAATCTTATAGAGGTCTCAGAGAGAATCATCACTAAAGAAAAGCCGAAGGACCCCATTCCTGATGTTGAGTGGTGGTAAGTTATTGCAACTTTTAAGTTTTACCTGTGTTGCACATTTTACATTTTTTTTTTGCAAAATGTTGTTTAGCTTCTGAAGAAAAAGAAAGATATCAATGATGAATCATATATATTGCCACTCAAAATTTTCTAGTACGGATGATATTTTGATTTCGCAATGCAAAAGGCACTTCATATTTTTGTGAGGCTAGAATGTTTGTGCTTTGACTTTTTTGTTGCTGCAATCATAGCTTTTTAAAGACCATTGCATTAACTTTTTCATATGCATACTTGGTTATTTTAATAGAACCTCAAGTTAATATATTTGTCTTGTGAAAGATGATATACCAACCCTTTTGACATCAATCTGATTAGAAGTTTTTTTTAATCTTCCAGGGATGTTCCTCTTCTGGATTCTGGTACTTATGGAAACATCACCGAAGGTGGCTTAGCTGAAGATATACTAAAAAAGGAGAAGATTACCTTATATGTGGAACACCCTCGTCCTATTGAACCTCCAGCTGAACCAGCTCCACCCCCACCTCAACCCCTGAAGCTTACCCAGAAAGAACGCAAGAAACTCCGCACTCAGAGGCGTCTTGCCACAGAGAAGAACAGGCAAGAAATGATCAGGCAAGGCCTGCTAGAACCTCCAAAACCTAAAGTCAAAATGAGCAATCTCATGAAAGTTCTTGGCTCAGAGGCTACCCAGGACCCAACTAGGCTTGAGATGGAGATCAGAAGCGCTGCAGCCGAACGTGAACAAGCTCATGTTGACAGGAATATTGCACGTAAACTAACTCCAGCTGAAAGGCGTGAAAAGAAAGAAAGGAAACTTTTCGATGACAACAATACCCTTGAGACAATCGTTTCTGTGTACAAAATTAATGACCTTTCACATCCTCAGACAAGGTTCAAGGTTGATGTTAATGCCCAAGAGAACCGGCTGACAGGCTGTGCGGTTATCTCAGAGGGTATATGTGTTGTGGTGGTTGAAGGTGGTAGCAAATCCATAAAACGCTATCAGAAGTTGATGCTAAAACGTATAAACTGGGCTGCTGCCGTGAAAGAAGAGAGTCAGGATGAAGACGATGACGAGGAGAAACCAAAGAACAACTGTGTGTTGGTGTGGCAAGGTAGCGTTGCGAAATCAAGTTTCCATAGGTTTACGGTGCATGAGTGCAGGACTGAAAACGCTGCTCGGAAGGTGCTTTCTGATGCTGGGGTTGGTCACTACTGGGATTTATCAGTTAACTTTTCAGACGAGTGGTGATTCGGGTCTAATTCACTGCAGAGTTCCTTATCTCGGGTATGTCCTTTTTACCTTTGTGTGGCTGGTGAGTGGTGAGTATACATTTAGTAAAGCGCGCAATTGTTGAAGGTGGAAAACTGAAAGAGATGAGATGAGATGAGATGAGGGCAATTTTCTCTTCTAATGTTGTCGAATAATGGACTTAATTGATTTCATATTGTTATCTGCTTGAAGCCAACTTGGAAGATATATTATGTGTTTCAATTCAAGGCATTTAGTCCCTCAACTTTGCACAGCATAAAACAAATAGATAGCCAATTGATGGTCTAATTTACTATAACTAATCAAAAGTTATTGAAATTAAATGCAGTATAAAAATATTAATGAAAATACTTGATATAGTTTGTGAGGGGAAGTTAAAGAAACCCAGATGTGATGGAAGGGTGAAAAGTGATGGATGGGCACACGATCTTCATCTTCAGGAAACTCATCCCCACATGATCCACTCATCGTCTTTCCGGGACCACAACAAAATCCAATTGTGTAGAACCATGAGATTAACCTGTGAACTATTGGAAGTGAATATTCACCTGTAGATTAGGGTATAGGGAAGAAGATGGGTAATCTCAAGAGGAGAATGCAGATTAAGTTTTTTATTTTTATTTTTATTTTTATATTTTCATCATAAAACATTCTAATAGAAAACAAAAAGAATATATAAATTTTGAAACTATTTTTATATTCATGCATTGGCCGCATCGGCAAAAAATATATTGAGTTGTATCTTATGTCATTCACCATGTCAGCAATGTCACTGGTTAATACTTAAACGGATCACTTGGGCGCTTATCATTTAGGTACTAAAATGAATGTCTTAGATGCTCGTTATCCAGAATAGAAATTAAGATAAAGTATGTGATTTTTTGATGCAAATTACTCTTGATAATTAAATAAATGGAAAACAATCATCCTAACAAGTTTATCTTTGAGCTAGTTGTCTAGAAAAACAAACGATTGGGCTATTCTTGCACTTTTTGTGTATATATAGATAAAGGATTGTGTGAGAAACAAAGTTAAAGGTGTGGAGTGTAAGAAGGGCTTTGAGTTTCTGAAACCTTATCACTTTTAATCTCACGTCCACCTATGAACTGTGTTTTAGAAGAGAATTTGTCCGGTATGTCTCGGTGCATCTCATTAGTGTTGACATTTAATTAGAATTGATCCAAGAGTGGAGATCTCTTCTTACACTTCTCACCATAACTTCTTTTCTCACCAAAAGCCAACCCTATCTTAAAAATTTGTGAGAGCCTTGAGAATTTCTACCTTAAGGTTTTGTTTGACACTATTATTTTTTATCTAAGTATAATAGCTGATGTATTAATTAATATATGTTTGTTTCACAATATGTTTGTTTCAATGTATTTGGTTCACGGTGTGAATTTTTTTCATGTGTATTTTTTGTTCCATAAATGTACCACAAAGGTTCACATTATGAAATGAGTACATGTGAAACATATATATGTTAATCGATATTCTAAACTCTAGTCTTAAATGAAAAAAAAATCATATGAAGCAATATATCTTGTATTAATTTTCAAGATTATCACAATTTTATGAGTTTCCAAAAAAAAAAATCCCATATATACATTTTTTATGGAATCCTTTTATTTATTAATCGTTTAACCCAATCCACAAGTACTACTACTGACAATTTATGGGTTAAATTGTTTGCCATAAAAGGTGCGTTACGTATAGTGATGGCCAAAAACCGGTCACGGGCCGGTTTTTTATTGGTCCAGGTTTTCAACAGATTTGGTCATAACCGGTTTCTGTCCCGGTCGAAAAAGATGAGCCCAGTCAAGCTTCATTGTAACCGGTTACAGACCCCTGGTCCCGGTCATTAAAAAATAATATTTTTAATGTTATATATTTTTAATACATTATAAAATTTGTAATTGGGTAACTCAAATACACTTTAAAAATACGTTTTATTATAATTAATATTACACTGTCTTATAAAATATAGTGAGAAACCGAGAATTGTGAACATTTTTTTTGCGAATCGAGAACTCAGTATGTAAACCCTTCAACAAAGACATTTATATATAGTGCTTAAGAAGACAAACAATACAAAAAAAAGCCAAAAAACGGCTACATTTTTTTTTATTTAAAAAAAGCTATATTTTTGAAAAATCGGGCTAGGTCCATAACCGATCCAGCAAAATACCCCAAATCTATAACCGGTCCCAGATTTTGGTCCTATAACCGGTCCTTACCGGTCCCGGGCTGGACCGGTCCTTGGCCAATCCCGGTCCTTTACGATCCTGGGCTGGGCCGGGCTAGTTTGGCCATCACTAGTTACCTAAAAAATCAAATCAATTTATTGGGGGCATTTTCGATTAATTTCGCCCAGAGCACCAAAATCTTCAGGACCGGCCCTACACACATATACACATAGAAACATATCTATCTATACACCTGATAAATAAGTAATTTTGGGGACACGTGTCCTGTTTCTGTGCAACGGTTATTGATATTTCCCTCCTAAACATGTATGTAGACACAATTTACATTACTGGTTCAAATGGGCCTACTTAATTGACATTTGTCACTGTAAACATAACTGATTATAAGTCTGATATCTACAGACTTTTTCAACAAAAACCTTACCACCAGGAGACCCCATGTTTAGAAAAAAACCGTTATTCACTGAAGCAGCAACAGGAGATGGAAAACTTGGCACATTTTGTACTGCCACAAATGGAAATGCCAATAGATTAATTACAACATTAACTGTATCTCTAATTCCATTTTTCCCAGTTTAAAGTCGAGAGTTATTTCCCAGCCTAACAACACAACTTTGAATTCTTGTGCTTCAAAGTTAAAGTTAAGAGTTTCTTTGTAGGCCTGAGGACAAGTTTGAACTCCTTTTCCTCAGTTAAAATTCAGAGTTGTCTGCCAGACTTATATTGCCTACCACTATAAAAATTTGAGGACAAGTCTGAACTCCTTTTCCTCAGTTAAAATTTAGAGTTGTCTTCCAGACTTGTAAGACATACAAGTATGAAAGTCTGGGAAAATCAGAGCTATAAGTTTGAATTTAATTCTGAAGTGGCCTCCAAACTTACAACATAACTCTAGGAAAATTCAAAGTTGTAAGTCTGAATTTAACTCTGAAGTGGTCATCAAAACTGAGTTTAAAATTTCAAATTCGGATTTTTGAAACATTTTTCACAAAGCAATATTACCCGAATAAAAAATCAGCTCGACCCCCAGCCAAGGGATCTGCCCCTTGGACATCGCCAAGGGCTGCTGCCCCTTGGACCTCGCCACCGGGGACGCTGCCCCCGAACCCCCGTCGTTTAGGGGCGAGCCCCTAAATCAAAATAAACTCAAAAAGTGTGCACTTCGCACCTTCCTTACTTGTTCGACATTTATTATGATTACATTGGTCAACAAATTAATCTCATTACACTTAAATGACATTAGTGATACAAATCACCAACATGAAGTCATCAGATATTGGTTATTTCTCAGACTTACAACATAACTCTGAATGATTCTGTTCCAAACTTAGTTCCATAGTTTATTCCCAGACTTAGAATACAACTCTAAACTCCTCTTTAGAGTTGAAGTTCAGAGTTACGTTTCTGAGTTATAAGAAGTCAGAATTCTTGTGACTCAGAGTTATGCTCATAGATACTTTCTAAACTTAGAAGGGTAAAATGCACAAAATAGCAATCTACTTTCATAAATTTCTTTATTATAGCATTGTACTTTCAGTTTTTCTTATTACAATAATGTACTTTCAAACTATTTTTTATTAGAACATTGTACTTTGAAAAACTTACTCATTATAGCATTGGATAACCTTTTAATTTAAATTTACCCATTATACCAGGTTTCCATGCCACCTCATTGTCCACATGTACGTGATTTTCTTATTACAACATTGTACTTTCAAAATTATTTTATCATAACATCTAATAGTTCTTATTAAATAATATACATCTAATTTTAATATTTATATATTTTACATGTTATTTAATAAATATATTAAATGAATTAAAAAAATTCTAAATTATTCATTAATATACCAATATTAATAAAATTTGTATAAGACAACTTATCTCGTTAATATTTTTCAAAAAATGTGTTTTTCGAAAAAATAAAATAAGAATTGTTCTTTTTTTACCCAAAAAAATTATCTTTTAAAGAATATATCATATTTGTTCAAAAACTTATAAATATATTAAATTAATTAGATTTTTTTGAATTATTTTTTATTTCATTAATATTTAAAAAAAAACTTTAAAAGATATGTATTTTTTTAACAACATAAAATAATAAGTGTAACTTTTTTATTAAAAAAAGTATCTCAAAAATAATGTAGCATATTTATTTAAGAAATATTTTACTATAGAATATTTAATTTAYATGCAACTTAATAAGAAAAAGTCAAAAAAATTAAATGTTTTTTTAAATCATAGTAATGGAAAATAAAAATCATTAATAATAATTTGAAATATGTTTTTATTTTTATTTTAATTAAGTCATCAAAATGATGTGTCATCCACATCACCTCATTAAAGCCACACAAGCAAAAAAGTCAAAGGGTTAACTGGTTTAAAAGGTAACAGGTTACTCATTGCTATAATGGGTAGATTTTTTAAAGTACGACGCCTTAATAAAAAATAATTTGAAAGTACATTGTTGTAATAAAGAAAAACAAAAGTAAAATGCTATAATAAGAAAAATTATGAAAGTAGGTTGCTATTTCATGCATTTAACCCAACTTAGAAAACAATTCTGAATTCCTCTTATTCAGAGTTAAAGCCAGAATTATTTTCCAGCCTAACAATAGAAATCTGAATTTTTGTGTTTCAGAGTTAATGTTCAAAGTTTTCTTTTAAACCTAAGGAAAAGTCTCAACTCATTTTCCTCATTTAAAATACCCCGTGCAATACACGGGTTCGAACCTAGTATGCATGTATGTATGTATGTATGTATATATATATATATATATATATATATTGTGTGTGTGTACGATCTTTTGTTAACAAATTCATTTGTGTTAATTATACAAAGTCTTTAGACCAATAAAAATCAATCTAATATCATGATTCATAAATTCCTATATAATTAATAGTTGGGGGTAAAATAGTAAGATTATGTTTTGTTTTACTTTAAGGGAAAAATTCAAAAAAATCTAACAAACTTTTTCATTTTGAGTGGTTTAGTTTCTAAACAATTTTTTTGTATGAAAAAACCATTAAACCT